GTCGTGGCTCTCTAGGTAGCGTGGAACAGAAATACAGCTGCTGCAGCCACAAACAGAGGGAGACTGCGTGCACAGGGCTGCACTGCTTGGGATGCTGCTCTGTCTGCCATGGTCGGCCAGACACGCACATAGGCACACAACGGGTCTTTATTGAGCAGGGAAAACAAAATGGGAAATGTTTAAAGCACATTACTACTCTTATGGTACTGCTGATTAGACAGCCTGAAAGTCCACAGCCAGCAAACACCAAAAAAAGGGTCAGTATCACTCACTTTGCCTCCACCTTGCCACAGTTTGACACAAACAAACACATCTAAGGCCCTGTACAGGGGATTCCAAAAGCTGGAAATTTTCTTTGCATTTCTTTTTCTTTCTTTTGTCTTTCTTTCCTTTTTTCCTCTTTTCTTTCTTCTTTTTAGTTTCTTTCTGTCTGTCTATTCTGCATTCTCTAAGTGTAGATCTACAGGTATGTCAAGCCTGAAGAAGCCTTCATTAAGCGTAAGGAGTTCCACAGTGATTCCATTAAATGGTGATTTACACAGTTTAAGAGACCACCCCTCTTTGTTCTGTACACTAAGATTCAGCATGGCCATATTTTTATCCATCAGTGAACAAAAAAATGCTCACAAGACTCTTTTCCCCTCTTCTTTGTGTCATTAAATGGTTGAGGCAGCCCTACCTGGAGACCCCAATCCTGCCCCTCTTCACACATGCTCAGGCAGCCTGACATTCCCAGCCAGCTGCCTCTGCCTCCAGCAGAAAGTCACGTTTCACAACCCAACACTCAGCTCAGCGAATGAGCAGCACATCAGCAGCTGAGCTGCCTGCCTAGAGCTACGAAACAACAAAACAGGGGTGTTAGATCCCATTTTACCCCTGAACTTGGTCACATCGAGCAAACAGACAGGCAGCAGGGGAACATCCATGTCAGGAGCACACACCAGCACCGATGCACACTCAGACCCTGCGCGTGTGGGGATGAGCAGAACAGCACACGTAGCCACAGACTGGGCTGTTCCTGGCCAGCAACTCTTTATGCTGATTGACTGGAGGGGATTAGAAGGGACTCAGCCCAAAAACGCAGTTCCTAATGCTCCTGCAGCTATTGCATAACAGAGATCGATTCCTGTCCCGAGCCCTGACCCGCAACTTACTCAAGACAAGTTTAATGCTTCAGGCTCTGTAATGGAAACATCTACTTCCCAGTGAGATGGGATGCATCAGCTCCCACAGGGCTGGGGCATCTGGCTGATTGGGTTTTCTGACAGACAGCATTGGGAAGGAAAGTAGGGAATTATCACCAAGAAGGAAAGAGAAATATTTTCCCCCAAACATTTCAACCAGAAGCTATGGGGAGCTGAAGCCTCCTGGGGTTCATTGACAGATATGCACTTGCTATTAATACACCTACTAAAGAAAGCAGCCCCAAACCAAGGGAAATTGAACACATCCCAAAAATAAACTGAAAAGCAATGAACCTGTGCACCCTAAACTGAATGCACCCAAAGTGGAACACACCTGAGTGTTCTAAAGGTGGAAAACACAGCAAGCAAGAAGTCCACAAATAAATGAACAAGTCCCAAAAGCATGCACAAAATGTACAAACACTTCAGAATAGGCACTCCATTAAAAGCTGCATGTTGAAATATCATTAGGGGCCATGCAAGAATTCCAGGTGCATGGGGAATGGCTGAAGTAACTCCATCGAGATCTGTCACTCCAGATGTGAACAGGTGTGCAACAAATGAGGACAGATCCACATCAAGTCAGGTGAAACCAAATGCCTTTCAACATTTGCCTAAAATCTGGTTGTCTTGTGCCTGACAAACTGCAAAGAGCTTTAGGGAACTTGGCTGGCTCCCGCGTCCCCCCTCCCCCACATCAGCAAAAAATAACTATTTGCAAAGGCCGCAATTCCTCGTTATTTTCTGTTTCCCTACATGCGCTCGCTAACTCCTTAGCAATGTTTCCAAGCAGCCGGGCTGGAAGAAAAACAGAGGAAGCGTCAGGAACGAGACAACCGGGAGATGCTGCTGCCAGGGCCCCTTTGTTGAGCATCCCTGGGTACCCCTCGCCTTTTACCTGGGGATGCAGTCGCCATGGTAACGGGCGGGTGTTCCCTGGAGGAGCCGAAACCCAGCTGTTCCCGCTGCTGAGCCCCATCTCCATCCCGCAGCGGAGCCCCGGTCGCGTACTGGTCCGCCCCGTCCGCAGCCCAGTGCACCCCGGTGCCCGCCAGCAGCAGGTCCTGGGGGTCCGGCGGGGCTGACATGCTGCCTGCAAGGCGGCCGCTGATCTCCGGCTCTCGGGATGCAGCGGGAGCCACCGGGAGGGCTGCGGTGGCCGCCGGGCTGGCTGGTGCTGCGGCCGCGCTGGGGTCTGGCCGGCTGCGGGGACCGGGAGCCGCCGCCGCCGCCGCTGCTGTATCTCCACTAGCGCGTATTACGCAGGTGAAAATGGCTTGTTAGTTGGAGCCTTCCAGCCCTTGCGTCACCCTGTGGCTGGCATATCACAGGGCAGGAATCTGCCAGCCGGGCTGCTGCTCTCCCCCGTTTAACCGCTTCAGCAGGGTAGGCATCGGCTCGCTTGGCTAAAGGAAGAAATGCCCCCTTGCAGGCAGGCACACGCCTCCCTCTCCCCTCCCGCAGTCCCCCTCCTCCGCATCCCTGCGCTCCGGAGCATCCCGCAGGCGCCGCAGCCGGGCACGGCACCGCGCCTGCCGGGAGAGCCGCCGGCTCCTCCCGCACCGCCGGGCTCTGCCGAGAGGGCAGAGAGCTCGCAGTAAACCCACCCGAAAATCGCCCCGTTCCTGCCCCTCTCCCTCTCCGCCAGCCCCTGACCCAGCGAGAGAAGCCACACTATGCCTCTGGGTTTGTTTACCCAGTTGGCTCCTCTCTGTTTGCAGGCGCGCTGGAGACATGATCGCAGCTTATTGACACTTGTCAAAATAAACTCACAGCAGGTGTCTGTGTGCGGGTTTTTTCCTTTTTTTTTTTTTTTTTGTGTGTGCCATTATATTTGCTTGCATACTGCCTCACAAAAGTAATGTGTGTGTACCGAGGAGATGAGAAATATCAGGGATTTTTGCTGTCAGTGAGAGCAGCAGCAGCAGCATGAGTTACAGCAAAGGTGAAAGCACAGGGCAGGATCTGTGCTTTCACAGAATCTGTGCTACTTCTGAGGTGAACTAGGAACAAGTTTCCTTGCTGTCCTTTTACAGATGAGCAAATGGACCCAGGTAAAGGGCATGGGGTTGTTCCTCCATTACACAGAGTTCTGGCACTGACAGGTCAAGGAACAAATTCCCTGCCTTGTAGAAGAGCCTCTCTCTTGTCACGTGGCAGGTCAAGCTGCAAGGTGGAGCATAACTGACCCAGCCAGGAGACCTCATTCCTGCCTGGTTCTCTGCCTGTTGCAGCAGTGGGTCTCCAGCTGTGGTTTGTATGGCACAGCATCCCCAGGCAGGCTCCAGACCCTCTCCAGCAAAAGCAAGCTTATGCTTGGGTTTGAAAACTGAACATGTTTCCACTTTTTTCCAGACAAAGAGGTAGGAAATCCAGGGTAAGGCCACAAGATGAAAAGATGCAGAAGCAGCCTTGAAGATTTCCATTTGTGTTATCTTCCCAGGGAATTGCCACCCTTATCCTCACTCTGTCTTGCTGCTGCCTAAGAATCATACAATGGTTTGGGATGAAAGGAACCTCAGAGTTCTGAGAACCAGAGCATCTGGTTCCAACACACAGCCATGGACAAGGATACATTCCTCTAGGCCAGGGAGCTCCAAGCCCCATCCAACCTGGCCTGGAACACCTGAAACTCTTCTCCCCACCCACAGCCACTTTTGTCCCACTGGGTGATGGGAAGTGCAGTGCAAAAGCACCAGCTTTCTCTCCTCTGCCAGGAGCTGCCTTCACCTCAGCCCAAGCACCTGACACCATGCCCCTGGTTCCTGAAAGGAGGTTGGAGCTCAGTGGGGCTCATGCTATTAACCCAGGGAACAAACAACAGGAGGAAACCAGAGGAAAACGACCTCAAGTTGCGCCCTGGGAGGTTTAGATTGGACCTCTAGGAAATCTTCCTTCAACAAAAAGGCTGTCTAGCTTGGGAACAGGCTGCTGCCTAGGGAAATGGCTGAGCCAGCACCTTCAGAAAGGTTTAAAAGTCATGGGGATGTGGCATTTGGGGACCTGGCTGATTGGCGCAATAGGCAGCGTTAAGGTTGCAGTTGGACTGTGTGATCTTCAGGGACCTTTTCAACCTCGCTGAATCAGAGATTGACGTGTAGCTCAAGCAGTGAGGAGTCAAAAGTTAGTGATGCTCAAGGGTGCCTTCCAACATGGAGATGTGGGAGATTGTCAGTGGAGGACAGATGAAAACAAATCCAAAAGAAAGAACAGTGGGAGTTCTTGGAAGAAGATTCCCTCCAAGGCAGCCTTAAACAGCACACCAGGACCACTGTGAGTGGCTGAGTGGGGGTGGGGACAAAGGGTGGGGCTGGCTGGGCTGTGATGTGCTGTGACACCCGTGACATCACAGGGGACATGTCACAATGGGGGCAGCTCCAAAAGGCCCCAGCAGGTAACGCTGGCCTTCACTGCTTGGGCAAGCGGTGAGTGCACACGTGCTGGGGAGGCTGGGCTGGGGACAAGGGCCAGGGTGGAAACGCTGCACCCGGGGCTGGCTTCTCCCCCTGAGTGTGGGGACATCCCCTCGTGGGAGAGCCTCGGGCAGGCCACGCTGCTGCAGCTGCTGCTGCTGCTGCTGGGTCAGCAGGACAGGCCTTGCTGCCTGCCAGCTGTCTGGGGCCCTGTCCTTCCTGCCCTCAGATCCCTGAGCAGATCCCTGCTGCCCTCCCTCCCGCAACCAGTAGTTCCCTCCTTCGCAGCATGACTCAAGGCCTTCTCTCCATCCTCCTGCAGACCATGAATTCCGTCGTGTTCCTTTTCATGCTCTTGAAGAGCCTCACCCTTTACCCACAGCCTGTGGGGGATTGGGATGAGGAAGCTCGTCGGCGCATGGAACTGCGTGCCCAGCAGCTGGAACGCGAGAGGCTCCTGCTGGAGCAGGAAGTGGAGCGGCTCATCCGGAAGAGTGAAGCCCAACAGTACTTGCAGCTCGTGACTGTTGCTGTGCTCCTGGTCCTCGTCTTGCTCCTATGGTTTATGGGATGGGAAAGGAGCCTGAGGAGAGAGAGGAACGAAGAAGAAAATGATGGCGCAAATGAAGAGGGAGTCAGAAACGGGGATGCAAACGGAGAAGAAGCTGTTGGAAATGAAGAAGGCAATGCGAATCGGGAGGAAGACAACAATGATGACGGCAACGTACAGCAAGCGGGCAATGCTGCTGCAAATGAGGCAGATCGTGGTGGAAACGGAGCTGTCAATGAGGATGCAGCTGCAGAAAACAACCGTGAAGATTTACTCCGAGAAATAGAGGAGGTTTTTGGGGAAATCATCGGTGTAGTTTTGACGGACCGCATCCAGTGGCCTGTCCAGGACCTGCAGAGAGGCTGTGAGTGGATAACTGACCTGATGGACAACTATGCCACTTTCTTTGGTCGTGTCTTGTCAAACAGTTTCTACCCAGTCCTGCAACGAGCCATCGGGGTGGGCAGCGCCTTTGAAGGTTGGAGTCCCCGCGAGCAGGACGTTGTGTACCGCGTGCTCGTACCCATGACCCCTCCCCGAGGCCACAGCTTCCACCTGGAGCTGGACACTGCAGGGCACACGCAGCTGAGGAACTTCCGTGTGCGCGTGCAGCTGGAGTGCACCTGCACGAGGGAGCAGCAGGGCGACAACATGCTGTGCTTCCTGCACCACCCCGAGGAGGAGCTGAGGAGGAATCAGGATCCCAGCCTCCTGGACACCCTGTGCACCGGCTCCTACCTCGACGTGCAGAAAACGGCCCGCTGGTTCTACCAACTGGTGAGAGCAATCTGGCCAGCTTTGCCTCAGTCACACAGTTGGCATTTAACGCTGCTGCCCTCCAGACGCTCCTGCCAATTCAAGGTGACCAACGGAGAAGAGAGCTTCAGGATTGAGATGTTGTTTGGGGTAAGGAGAGGCGACTCAGACATCTTTGTCAGCAGCCAGCCTAGAGAGGCCCACACCCCAAACACAACCTGGCCTGAGACTTATGCTGTGGCAGAGATGAAGTTCTTCAAGCACATTGCCAGGCAGGCCCCCCCCGACAGTTTGCACCTCCGATGCCTGCAGTTCTTCACCCGTCTCCAGCTGGGTTTCTGCTTTTCCACCTACGCCATCAAGACCCTCATCATGCACCTGCTCGCTGCCACACCCGTGGCATTGTGGTGCAGGAGACATTTCCTGGAGCGACTGCTGCAGATCAGAGATGGCCTGTTTTTATGTGTCAGAGCAAAACGCCTCAACCACTTCATTGTGGGCAACGAGAGGCTTCCTCGTGACATCAGGGTACCCCCAGATGTTCCAACGGCTACGACACACAATCTCTTCCATCGCCTGGCGCAGGACTCTGACGCGTACAGCCAGGCCATGCTGGAGTACTGGCTTCTGCGAAAGTGGCTCGATGAAACAATCGCAATGAACTTTGAATGAATGAAGGAGAGGAGTCACGGCTACGAGCACAGAGCCTGTGCTTGGCCTTGTGCTGCTGGCAGCTGGCAGCAAAGAGCCACCTCATCCTACAAATTTGGTCCTTTAAGGAGAAGAGGATGCATGCACAGGCTCTGGCTAAAGTCCCACAGCCTCTCCTGCTGCCTCAGCAGGTGGAGGGCCACAGCAGGGCTTCTTCTACCTCCTTGAATCCTTTGATTTTTCCAAAAAAACACACCCAGATCTGCATAAAGCCCGGCTTGCGCTTCCCCATTCCTAAGGGCGCATCTGAAGAGAGAACATGCCTCACGTGCAGCACCAAAGTCACCAAATCCCACTTGCAACATGCACTTGTTGCCAGCCTTTGAGAAGGGCCAAAAATCGGAATGTGAAAGAAGCGGGAATGCGGGTGAGGAAAAGAAGAAAGAAATGGAGCAAGAAGGACCAAGAGGAGAAGTCAGCGCTGCTTGCCCGGGATGAGTCCATGGACGGCGTCTCTCCTTGACTCCAGAAGGGACACCTTTGGGTCAGCTCTGGACCAGCTGTGTTGGAGCTGACCTGAAATTTTATCTATAGAAGAACCTAGATTTTTACTTCATAGCTAGATATATATATATATATATATATAGTGTTCATATATTTTATACTTTAATGTTTATAAACATGTAATCATATATAATAGTCATATAATGATTAATATATCATATATGATAGTAAAATACAACACAAGAAAACAATAGACTAATATAAATAATATCAAAAATATGAAATAGGTAATTCTTGTGTCATTAAGCAATATCATTCTAAAGAGTTGAATATGTAATTATATTTAAATAATAACAATAGAGGACACATGAAGTGTCACTATCTATTGTGATGCATATTAATGCATTTAGCACATTTTTGTCTGGAGTCAGTTTCATCAAATAGGTATATTGATAGCATATAGAACAGATAGCTAGAACACGTAGGATAATATTTTGATTTACAAGCAAATCCGTATCTAGTGTGGCTCTCAGCTGCGAGCCATATTAATGCTGTGTAGTTAGCATGTTTAGGATTGGCAAGCTGGAAACGGCTTTGCTCTTGTTTCAATAAAATGCAACATTGCAGAATCTGCATTGTGCGAGACTTTATTGATATCAGCCAGACCTAGAGCACGGGTAAACGTCACACGCCGTCAATGTGGGCTCATCAACTGTCTCCTTGAACTCCAGCAGACTCAGAGTGCTGAAGTGGTTCCAATGAGAAATGAGGCCCAGCCGTCCCCAGCCCCTCTGATCACAGAATCACAGAATGGCTTGGCTGGGAAGGCTCCTTAGAAATTGCCTCCTTCCAGCCCCGCTGCCATGGGCAGGGACACCTTCCGCTAGGCCAGGGTGCTCCAAGCCCCAGCCAAGCTGGCCTGGAACACCGCCAGCTGCTGCGGGCAGCGTGGGCCGGGCCCTCGCCAGCCTCACAGTCAGGAACTTGGCCAGGCTAATTAGATTTTCTTTATTCCAAGACAGGACACTTTTGCTGCATATCAGCAGCAAAGATTTTAGTCATCATGGTTGTGATGCCAAATCCCATCCCATACCACCAATTTTTTCCTCATTAGCAAAGGAGATTAATTTTGAAAATTCATGATTCCCCTTTGACATGTGCAATGTCTGAATATGATTGCAGCAAGATTCTGATGACATCAGCACTGATATTAATGAAATTAATAATATACAGTATGTTCTGTTTTTAAAAATATGTTTTCCCCGTAGTTCTTAATGCACATCTTTGTTTGGGTTTCCCAGTTTTCTTTTGCACCCACCACTCTCTGGGATGAGTCTCTCTGTGCATGTGTGCAATGGACTGAAGCACTGAGGAGAAGTCTGTAAGAGCCCTGAGCCCCTGGCAGCTCTGCTGTGTGAGCAATGGGCCATCACAAAGGTCTTGTGATAACGCAGCATCATCAGAATGTGTGCACACTGTCACTAGGAATGATTCATTTCCACAGACCAAAGGGGTTATCATGGTCTGAGGCTGCTGCCATGAACACAGGCAGTGCTACTTCAGTAAAAGACTGAGAAAAAAGATAGTGGACTGCATGCTCTGCTTATTGAATAGAAATGGGGACGAGCAGAAGTCAGCAGTGTGGTTGAGAAGGTCAATGGCATCCTGGCCTGTATCAAAAATACAAGGTCTTTTCCTATGGCAGCAGAAAGAGGTGTGAGTTTATGTGGCACAAGGAACAAAAAATGAATTCTTTCTATGGCAGCAGGACCAGGGAGGCAATTGCACCTCTGTGCTGGGCACTGGTGAAGCTGCATCTCAAATCCTGTGATGAGTTTTGAGCCCCTCATGACAAGAAAGATGTTGAGGGGCTGGAGCATGTGCAGAGAAGGAAAGGGAGCTGGGAATGGGGCTGGAGCACCGGTCTGATGAGAAGCAGCTGAGGGAGCTGAAGAGGCTCAGCCTGGAGAAAAGGAGGCTCAGGAGACCTTTCTCATTCTCCACAACTCCAACAGGAATGCAGAGCCAGGTGGGGGTCAGGCTCTGCTCCCAGGGAACAAGGGACAGGACAAGAAGAAATGGCCACAAGTTGTACCAGGAGAGGTTCAGATTGGACATCAGGAACAGCTTCAAGGAAAGGGTTGTCAAGCATTGGAAGGGGCTGCCCAGGGAGGTGGTGGAGTCACCGTGCCTGGAGATGTTCAAGAAATGTCTGGAGGTGGCACTCAGTGCCATGGTTTAATTGACAGGGCATTGATTGGTCAAAGGTTGGACTTGAAGAACTTGGAAGTCTTTTCCAACCCTAATGATTCTACAATTGTATGTAAATAAATAAATAAAAGTGGGATTTTTTGCTTCAGGGATCCCCATTATAGTGCAACCCAGGACTTTATTTCACCATTTCCTGTACAGCCCTCAGGTGGCCTGGAACAGTCTCATGCAATACAGTCAGCTCTGCTCATCACCATGCAATATTGCAAGGGAAAACCAGAGCTCTGCTTTCAAACCTTGGATACAAACCCTGAGCTCCTACTGACCATCACAGATGTGGGACATACATTGAAAATGAGTGAAAAAAAAATCAACAGGAGGAACAAGACAATACTCAAAAATCTTGATTAGTCCATGTTTCATGCTGTAGAGAAAACTTTGAACTTGGCACAACCTGGGCTGTCCTGCATGAAGTGAATTTACAGGGGTTTTTTAAGGTCCCCACAGGAAGATCAGGCTGGATGAAGATTTAATCAAATATCTCTTTAAGAGAGGTGTGAGTTTAAGTGGCACAAGGAATAAAAATGAATTCTTTCTATTTTCAGCACATTTATAAGAGCTCCTGGTAGTTTGTATTGTATTGTGTAGCAAACTGACCTGCACAGGGCTCATCTATCTCTGCTTATTGGTATTTAATTATCTTGATCTACCCTTTGGACATGATAAACCTCTGAATGTATGAAGTCTGAAAACACAGACACACAAATTGCTTCTCTTTCTATTTTAGCCCTTTGTATTCTGGGGATGCTGCACGATGCTGGGACAAAGTGACTTTGAACCTCGAGGGGATTTGTGGTCTCAGATGTAACATTACCAGCAAAGAGCACAGGACCTGGCAGGGTATATCAAGGGGTTCAGCAATGGAAAAAAATCATCTCCTCTTCCTTGAAGATTTTATTCTCAAGGTTATAGAATAAATGAATTGCAATAGGAAAAAGGAAAGGGGGGGGGGGGAAAGAGGCTTTTGACATAAATAGGAAAATGAAGATAAGTAAAACAACCTCCCCTACCCCACAGAGAAGATTTCAACACTGAAGCAGCTACAGTCTCTTTTTCAGTTCACCACATCTGCAGTGCAGCCCAGCTGCTTTCCATGTGTCTCACATCCTCACCCTCACACAGACAAACCTCTGGCAGTGTGTGACAGCACTGGTCTGGCCAGCATGCATGAATTCCTTCTGCAGCATGCAGTCAGATCCCACTGGGACACAGACAGGTAGGAACCCCAGGAGCCCCACTGCTGTGGGGTTAATCTGTCACACACCCACCTCACAAGGCATAGAGAGGTATTGAAACACCCAAAGAAAGTCTGGAAACCTGGTGAGAATAACAACTCCTCCTGGGCAAACCAAACCACCCCAAACTGTCACTACAGAGAGGCAAAAGGCCTGAGAGAAAAGGCAACCTGTGGGTGCTGCTGGCTCTCCCCACAGCAAAGGCCATTCAGCATCCTTCAGTCCACAGAGATCCTTCCCAGAGAGCCTTTTGGGTCTTTGGTCTTCCACCTTCTCCCTCTCCATCTCCACAAGCTCTGGCAATGAAGCAGGGCCAGGCAGCCTCTCCAAGGTCCTTTTCATCTTTTCCTCCACTGCCACAACTGTGGCAATGTTTCAGGTCTTTCTGGAAATAGATAACCCAAACTCCTGAGCTTCAAGGTATCATCCACCTCCCCACCTTCCCCACAGTCCTCCTGGGACCCACCACAGGCTCCTATTCCAGACTCTTTTGGAATCTGGAGTGTCTGCACCAGCCAGTGGGTCTCAGACCCCACTTTGCTCTGAAGGTACAAGCATCTCAGTGCCAGGAAAATGGGCCAAGCCCAGGAAAGACTGAAAGTGGGGATGTGATCACACCTTTCCAGCTTTCCCAGACAAACAGCTGTGTAGGAAATGCTTCCCTTTGTGATGAACAGCTTCAGAGATGAGACAGGTACTGAGTCCAAAACTGCAGCTCTCTAAAATGATCTCCTGGATAGTCCCACTCTTACCATATGCTGTGAAATGGGGAGACTGGTTCAACTTGGATCTTTAGGAAATGCTATTTCAAAAAGACCAGAGTCTCAATAGCAGCATTTTTACTGTGTATTGTGTAATTTAACCTCCCTTCTCTTTCACTGCTCTGAGGTTTGCTGGGTGTATCACAGCAGTGCACAGAGACCCTGCCTGGCCCTTTAATTCCCACATCATGTGAGAGCTTTCAGCTTCTCCAGCCCTCCAGCTGTAATGCAATGTGATTAAAGGTGGTGC